GAGCTGACTGCTCACGTTGTTTCAGCTAACGAAGCAAGACACATTTCTCTTGGATGAAAGCAAAACAGCAGCTCCAAGAATCCGAATCCAATGGACCACACAGGTCTTTAAAGGGAGGCTCTGCAAACCTCATCTGACATCACGAGCAAAGCAGTGCAGACAGCACGAACATCACAGCTCCTTCCCCCAGCCTTCCCCAAGAAAGCAGGAGGCAGCTGCTCCAGGAGGGGCATAATTACTGTGGTCTCACTGCTGCTACATTAGGGATCTCCAAGACCAGCCAACTCTAACCCAGCACAAAGGTCTACTGAGATACAATGAAAATCAAAGCCAAAGTCAGACCAGAAACAAGGGTCACATCACTAACGATGTGACTGATTTAACCAGAATTATAACAACATCACCAACATTTGGAGAAAAAGCAAAGCATGCAATTCAAATGAAAACATTACCCCTGATGCAGAAGTTACTGGCAGCAGTCTTTGAGCCATCTCACCCCCGACATCCAGATGGAAAACCACAGAGCACCCTCCTTTTCATCAGGACCATGGTGGCCCAATTGATACCTGAGCTCACCAGTCCTCTCAAGTAAACCTAGCATGTTCCCTGCCACTCCCAGTTCCCAATTCTCCACATACTTAGTTTTCAGATTTTACATGATATATTTTGCCTGTGGCACAGTAGATCACTTACCCTTCTCCTATTAGCCCTCTCTGTTTAATTACAGTTTAATGTGAATTGATCTTTACATTAATGAGCCTGCAAAGAAGATTGATTTTCTTCAAGAGACTTTTATGCTCAGTTTGGCAGCAGAGCAGTCCTATTGATTTCGCTTTCCCCAGTAAATATGCTGCAGAGTGTCATTGCATCCTCTGTGATTCAGCTAATCCTATTTCACACTCTTTTGCTCCAAGAGTCCCTATTCTGACTTCCTTGTTATCTGTGCTTACTCAGAGCAAGATCATGGGGCCAAAGCGTCTCCAGCAGCTCCGAGTGCTGCTAACACAGAGCTGACTGCCATGGGTCACTATCCTCTTTGTTCCTAAACAGTTGGGGGCTTAAAAGACTTACAGTGAAAGCAGCAAAAGTTAAAGTGTTTAATCTGTTAACTTCCTTAATTCCTAGCCAGCTAAGATGTGGCACAGTGTGCTCCATTTACCAGGCTTGTTTTGGAGGTCTGGTTAGCAGGTGCTCTGCTGAGCTCTCCAGCTGTGTAACAGCCTGCATCGGTGGGTGCTGACAGAATTGGGCTGCCCACCTCAGAGCCAGGGCAGAGGACAGGGACCCACCTCTGTCATCCTGTGTGGACATCCCAAAAGCCCCCAGAAAGCCTTTACCCCCACGCAGGTAGAGGATTAGCCTAGCTAAGAGACTCTACATGCACATTAGTGAGGAAGATGGATAAAGACAGCAAATAAATGGCTTCTCCATCCTCCCCTTCTCCACCAGATCAGGTAACAGAGTCTGAGAGCTACAGAGTTAACACATCTGAGTCTCAGCAGAACATTGGGAAGGGAAATCCTCAGCCAAGAGCATGTCAGGGAAAACATCCTGCCATCAACTCCCCAAAGTCCCAGTCTAGGATCTGTAGCTAAATTACAAATGCTGTGGGAATTTCAGGCAAGACTCTCCTCGCAGCTACTCCGATGTAATTTCGGAATGAATCCAGACTCAGTCTCTGTTCCTCCCAGCTGAATTTCCTGGCTTTTGTTTGCACCAACAGATGCTCGCATTTAATGTCTGTCTTTATTTGGTAAGCCGTACATAGAATATTTTTCCCTTCTGTTCTATTAAAAGCCTTATCAAGTCTCTTATGTTTGCTGTTGTCGAGACGAACGACTTTGGCAGTATTTTCAATGTGCAAGGCAAACAAACTGACTCTTCGAGGACTAATTAAACAGATCTAAACGTCATGGCAGTATATTAGCACATAGCATGTTTGATACATGTGTTATTCCTGCATCCATCTGCAGCCTGAAACATCCAAAGATTTGCAGAAAGCCTTGAGAATTCTCTCTCCAACAGATTCCCACATGTTTACAGACAGACATAACTGGTCCATGGCGTATATGCACGTGGGGATCGAGCAAGTTTTGGGTCATGGAGACAGGTATGGGAAACCCAAAAATGGGGAATACAAAGCAATCAAGTTTATCAAGAAAAAGCTTTATGGAAAGTGAGCTCAGGAGAACTGAGTTTGGCAGCATGGCAGATTTTTCTCACAGTACCAAAAGGAGAAAATGTCTCTTACCCAGTTTAAGAAGAGTAGAAGATGAAGTAACTCATTGAAAAGGGCTGTTCTGAGTGACAAATACACAACCCTTGCCTTTATAACACAGTCACAGCCCTCTGGAAATACTTAACCACGCGCAATACACAAGACTCTTCAGTACCTCTTCAGAGGTTTGTGAGGTAAACACACTTCACACATTTCTAAACACTGAAAAAAAAAAAAGAAACTTATTTATTTTTCCTTAGCCGTAAGAATACACTGTAACACTACACACTCAAACAGAAACCAGTTTCTCAGGACACAGTCTTCATCCTGGGTTTGGTTTGGCAGCCTCCCCAATTATTACTTCATGGATTTGAAGGCCAGAAGAAACCAGTATGACCATATAATCCCACTCCTTGCATCGCACAAGGCCAAAGACATTTACCCACCAATTTGTGTATCAAGCCCATTAACCTAGAGTTGAACTAAAGGACCATCTTTTAGGAAGCCGTCCCATTGATTTAAAGACTCCCAAGGATGGAGAAAGCTTCACTTCCTCAGCAAGTCATTCCAATGCGAGTTAGTCAGCAGCATCGATTAAAAGCAGGTACTTTAAAACATCTCTCAGATTATTTTTACCTCTGACAGAAGTTAAAAGGAAATGCAAGGGGGGAAAAAAGTGGCATTTTCTGAAATAAGCTAAACAAAGAGATCCTTCTTGCAGAGGTATGACAGCAGCACTGCAAACCCCACGAGCAGAGTTATTTATGTGTAGCAGCTGAGGAAAGCAATACAGATTTCTGGAAAGTGATCCTAAGCAGGTCTGTTTAGAATACCGTCCTTTTATCATTTGGCTTTGTACCTTCCCCTTCCCTCTGCACCACTCTGAAATTTCAGAGGAGCTGTAAATCTACTGCCTTCCACCAGTCATTATTCCTCCTTTCCAAACTGCTTATTTCATTTCAGGAATTAAAAAAAAAACAAACCCCAAAGCTCTAGCAATTTGGTCCTTTGCCAACAGCTAAATTAATAGCAAAAATAACAACAGGGGCTTGTGAAACTGGGATCATTTATAGACTTCGTGAGAAAGGAAAGCCGATTTGGGGGGCCTAAAAACTATATCCTGGATGGTAAATTGTATGCAAGCTTTCCACCCATAAATCAGATTTCTGGAGGTTTCTGAATCCAAATTTGTAACACACTGGATGATGCAGCAGCGTGGTAAGCTCAGTTCAAGTGGCAGGCAGATGGCCTCTCATGTCAGGGGATCGTGCCTTAAACAAGAGACCCTGCTCAGAGGGCGTTACAGCAGCCTCCGATCACGCATCCAGGCTTCACATGTGGTCACGGGAGCAGGGAGAGGCTGCGGCAGGGGGCAGGAATCAAACAGGGTGGTTTGACACCAACCGCATGCGACACATTTGACAGGTCTGATAACTGCTGAGACACAAGCCACCCCCTCCACCCAGGAGGTGAAGTGGTTACTTAGGCTTTTAACAGAGACACTTGCTAGATCCAGCACCGATGACAGCAGAGGAGCACTTGGGCTCTTCATAAGCTCTGCAGGAACACGGTATATGCAAGATCCAGACCAAAGGCACCGTTATCTGAAAAAAAGCTAAACTCACTTCACGCCAGGAGTGAGATATGGACTCCAATTTGAAGCTAAGATACCTAAACCGAATTAAGACAGCAAGGGAGTAGTTCCGCCCTGTAAATTTTAACTAATAGAAGAGCAGGAACAGTGCCAGTTCATTTCACTGCATTCTGCCTTTGATTTAAGCAATAGGAATGTACTTTCAGTCAACAGATCAAGGTTGCCTCAGTAATCCAAGCCTGTTGAGCATGAGAGGGCAATCACCTGGTAGTATGGACACAGGCATTTTCTAGTACAAGCAGCAAATTCATGGTACATATGGACACCTGCCTGCAGGTATATGCTCAAAGCCATGCATGCTGGAAACCATTACTTGAACTTCTCAAGCACTTTGGAGTCTGTGTTAGCTATAACCACTTCCCTTTCCGAGGAACTTGGGAGGCATCATGCATACCTCAGCAAAATTCCTTCTCAGTGTGCATTACAAGCAGACACATGCAAAAATAATTTTAGAAATCCACACTCTTAAGGTACAAAGAAGTTTGATATTTTAAGGTCTTTATACTTTTCAGCTGTGTCCCCAACACAGAGATCCTCAGTGCCAGATACACAAAGGCTCTCAGGTGTCCAACACTTCTGCAGGCACCTAAACTACCACAGTTGGGAACTTCAAAGTTTCTGTAGATCTCACCTTACAGTCACCAATCACTTTCTCAAAAAAAAAAGTTGAAAGAGACCATAAAAACAGCTCTGGAATGAGTTCCCTGAAAGATTAAGATGTGAATAGTCTCTGGCTTTAGGAGAAAAGAAGAAATCATCAGAACAGGGCCAGGAAATAAAAAAAGAACAATAAAGAAAGAGGTAAAATTACATACTCCTTTAAAAGCACAAGTGTGACATAATGGTTGAAACCCAAAGGCAGAGGAGAAAAATAAAGTTTTACTCACATGCAACTGACCTGTGGAGTTTACTGACACAAGTCACCACTGACCATAATTACAACATTAATGAAGCCCAACCTCACACAAATCACACAACTCCAGAACATGTTTCTTAATTAAGGTGCAAACCAGCCTGTTAATGAAATCTGAAGAGTTAGCAAAAGTGTACCACACACAAAACTCTGTTGGAAGCAGCTAAACCTACCCCACAAACAGCCCAAAGTCAAAAGAGGCAGCAAGGACTTACAGGTGGAGGGAGCGGACACTGGAAGCAGCAGGTCCCAGAGAGGGAATGGCGGTCAGCTCGTTGTTGTTCAGTTGCCTGCAACAAACAGAAATTAATTGTTGGAGCAAGCAGCCTATGACCAAGCATGAAGGAGCAGGAGAAGGCTGTGACCAGTCCTGATCCAACGCTCCTGAGTCTCCAGGAACAGTGACATTTTGGCAGAGGCCTCCATCTCAAGGCCCACGTCTGGGCCTCTGACAGTCCAACCTTACCCTCCCAAGCCAAACCTTTAGTAAATGAGACACTATAACTGGTCTCACAGTACCTTCTTTATAAAAGCAAGGCTTTTTTTCCCCTTCCACCCACTGCCTTAAGCAAAGTCAAGTGCCACTAAGGAAGGCACTGTGCCACAGCCCTTTAGTAGCTCGAGTTTCCACAGTCAGCACAGCACCGAGCCTGAGACAGGCCATGACACCTTTATCCCCTGGTCCCTCTGCTCGGGACAACAAATTTAACCCCCTTCCCAAGCAGCAGCCCCCACTTGCCCCTCCATGCCAGGCCAGGGCACAGGGGCCCAGCAGGTGCCATGGCAACAGGGCCTAATGGGTTGCCTCAGGCCTCCTCTCCACACCAGGCCAAGCTGCAGAAATCCCACACAGGCAACTCCACAAAGCCAGCAAAACGCAAAAAATTGGCACTGAGCACAGTAATGCCACCAAAGCCAGATGACCTGCTCCAGCCGGCCAACAGGGAGCACCACACAGTCCCCTGCAGCTAATGGCAATTGCAGACAGAGCCCCACTCCTGAAAACACCCATACAAATATGGTCCCCTTCAATGGCCTAATGTTTGAAGTGTGTTTCTGACTGAAAACAGATCCTTGCCATGTGACCGGCTCTTCCTTGGTTTAAAGAGCCCTTGTTTGTATGGTGAATTAGTCAATTAATTACTGTAACAGTCGCTTGTCTGGCTGCTTGAAAATTACTTAATTTCTTAGCCATCTTGCCCACTTCCCCACCCCCTGTCACCACATGCTGAAGCAATTAAAAGCCAAGCAGGGCAGCACATGGCAGGACCCCCAACCACCTCCAATCAGCTATGGCTGGAGGCAGAGCCTCCCCGGGTCTCTCCATGCTGCCCGCCTTTAAACTCTTCCCCTTCTGCAGAGACTCTGCAAGGGGATCTCAAAGATCCCAATTCGGGTGCGAGAAGCAGAGCATCCCATAGCAGGCAGGGAAGAAAGGCGCAGCTGAAGCATGCTGAGCTGTGGGGACAAACTGAGGCAATACTAAGTTACAGTGTGTGGCTTGCTTTTCTTTTTTTCCTCCTTTCCTTTCAATCTGTTTTTGGCAGGTGGGAGAGAGCAGCGATACATCTACCCCAGAACTTCCTTCCAACTCCTCCGAGAGCAAGCAAGATATTTGATTTCACGAGGAGTTTCAACCACTGCTGGGATAAAAGCTTTCCTCAGCCTTGGCTCTGCCTCTAACATTATACCTGTACCTTAAAATGTAAGAGGGGAAAAAAAAGCCAGATGCACTGCAAGTCAGCAAGGAGGCTCCACTTTGCAACTAGAAATTCATTGCTGCTCATATTATAGCAAGCTTTAGAGCATTCAAAGGTACAAAGCAAGCTGGAAAAAGCACTAAAATACTTCTATTTGTGTCATGTTATCATTGACATCCAGCTGAGCATCTTTTTGAAAGGTACAGGAGGAGAATTAGACCCAGCCTTTGCTAGCCTGTGTCAGCTCTGGTACCAACCAGCATCTAACAAGCTGTCAAACCCTCCTCTGGCACACTTATCACCCTCCTGTCAGGTCAGAAACAGTTCTCCCATCCCATTTTCTCTCCTAGCTCACAGGCACCAACCAGTTGCTAATGCTGAAGAGAGCCACGCTCAGTATTTGTCTAGGATTTCCCTTTCTTCTTACCCTTCCCTGAAACAGAAAAGCCAGGCTCAAATTTAAGCTTTCAGTCTCCTTTCTCCTCCTCATTCTGACAACACAAACCTGCTGTCTCTGGATGCTAATGCAGAGGAGAAGGGGGGGGTCACCCGTATAAAATATTTACGGTCCAGTTGCCAGGCTGGTGTCAAGCTGAAATGGAGCCTGCTCAAAAATAGCACAGCTCTCCAGAGCTTTCAGTGAAAGGCACTTTAGAAAATAAAAGGCGAGTTGTTTGGAGAGGAATTTTAGCACTGTTACTACTTCTCGGTTACAAATGAGCTTGGAAAACCTGAGAGCCACGCAACCATCACTTTCATGGATCCCATGATCCAATGTGACCTGAAGAAACCTCAGAAAGGACCACAGGGCCCACCCCATCCCACCCCCCTGCAGCACGCTCCACCTCACCCTTTTAACCAAGGTATGAGAATGGACAGACCCCAAAGGGTTGTCAAGGAGCCACCCAAGGGGATGAGAGAAATCATAGACGTCCTAGAGGAAAGTTATGTCCCACTGCAGCCCCTTCACCTGAGCCTCCATCAGCACAAAGCTACTCATTTCAGAGTACGTGCAATCATCGGGTTTCATAGCACTTTGAGCCACTAAAATTTCATCACATGTAGATTTAAACTTAAGGGGAAAAAAGCTTCTCAAAAAAAAAAAGCCACAAACAACTGTCTAAACCCAGGGAAAGGGAAAGTATTGGGTAAACACAGCTATTACTTTACTACAATCTCAGTAAAGGGAAACAGAGCATCCGAGATAAGCTATGAAGTTTAAACCTTTTGGTTTGCAGACATTATCTTAAAAAACTCAAGGGAAAACAAAAGCTTTTCAAAAATCTATCATACTAATTACTCGCACAGACACACACAGAGCTCTGAGCCTCATCTGTAATGCTCAGGAATCACAGGCACCGTATTTGAAGCATCATGGGAGGTTTCAGGTCTTATCAATGCATCTATTATTTGGGGCAATCTAAAAAAAATGGTTTGCCCAGCACAGCGCGCAGAGTGAAACATTGACTTGCTCTCAAGACATGCCACAGCACGATGCTTATTCCATGAATGTTTGTGAAGTGCTTAAAAAAAACGCCTCAGAATGGAGATGCTCTGGCAGTACAGATGTGGTTCTCTCTGTAAAATGCAGTTTATTTCAGTGGTCTGTGGTTTAGCTGTTATTCAAAAGCAACCAAGATTGGTAGATAGGGCTTTTAATAGAGCTTCTCTCTCACGCCTTCCACAGCCTGCCTTCCAGGCTCCGCTCCAGACCTCTGCCTCCCGCCTGGTCTCCCATTTCAGACTGCTCCCTCTCCCTCCTACTCACTCCTCTGCTCTCTCCCTTATCCCTAACCCTGCCTTTCTGACACAGCAAGCAGCTCTTATCTGCACCATTACTTTGCGGGCTGCATTACCTACCTCCCTTGAACCCTTCTTTAGCAGCTGACTGTTCAGCGCAGGGCTTGTCCTGCTCTAGATGCAATGCAGCACCTTGCACAAGGGAGCTCCCTACCTAAGGAACCAGAAACCATACACACTTCCCAGCCCCATGCACCCTGCAGTCACCTGCCTTCAGGCACCTCTACAAATAAAAGCTGTTGCTAAGCCACAGTCATGTTAGGATAATTCTAAAGTATCATGGGATCATGGCTGCAATTCTCTTCTCTAAGCACAGAGCAATTTAAGGCTTTGCACAGTATAAAGAAAAGTTGAGAAAACAGAACCTATAGGCAGTGTTTTTTCTCACCAGCATCACTTTCTCTCTCCTCCCTGACTGCTCTCTAGGATGATCTGGAGTGAACCGATTGCAGAGCACTGCAGTCACTCCTGATGCATATTCCTCACTTAACCATGATTCCCAGCAGGCCTCTACTATTAGTATAAACTATCAGTACCAGCAGGGGAACCAGGGGCAATCAGGCAAAGGGAGAGATGCTGCATTAATCCCCAAAGTCCAGTCCTGCAGATGTTAGGGAGAAATCCCACTTGCAGCAGCCTGGTTGCCTATTTAAGAATCATAGGATCTGGCCACTCCACCAGCTCCAGAGCCAACACTTAATGAAACCAGACAGAGGGCAAGAGAAAATGCACAATATACACAGAGTGCACTATTGTTTCCGAAAGGAAATGTTTTTTCAGTTTCCCATGAGGCAGCAGTAGCTCTTCAAACAGAGCCCAAACCTCAAGTATGCCAGCGATTCAACATTCAAACACGAGCTCGTCACCCCAACCCACCGCTCGCCATTTCAGTCACTTTCGTTTTTCAAAACCCCAAAAAAATCAGAGCTCCAGTAATTGCTATGAAGAGCTGACAAGCGGCCCCTCTGCTGAGCGTTTACACAGATCAGGAGCTGGGAAACCCTGCCATTATCCAAAAAGGTTTCATTCCACCAGCAAGGAGGCTCTAGCACAGCTGCTCAGACCTTCACCAGCTCCCTCTCTTCCACCACCAAAGCAGAAGACAGCTCTGCTGTTTTACCCTCTCCAAGCAGACTTCAAACACAATTTGTCCTGGTTCCAAAAGGTGCACAAATGGCAGGGAGGAGGAGGCACAGTTAAGTGCTTTGTTATCCACTACACTACACCTTTGTTTCCTGGGAGATCTGGGTTATGTTGGCATCAGGTATCACGATCCAGGCTGTTCTGCCTTGCTTCAGGGTTATCCTTTCAGCAAGGAGCTTTGTGTGTGTGTTCAGGTGTGCAAGCCCAGCTGCTCCATCACAGCATTGCACAAGACAGAGGGAGGCAAACTCCAATGATTTCCAATAACTGCTATGCTGGTTTAATTGGGATGTTGTGTTCTCCTAATTGATTAGTCTAAAAAAAACCAGCACAGGTACAACATAGTGGAAAAAAACCCTTCCACACCAAGCTGGACATGCTCATTTGAGTTAGCTGAAGGAAGGGATCATCTTAGGAAACTGCATACAGCTTCCTCTTGGCCCACAAGCTGCCCTGGCAAAATACAACCAAAACCTCTGAAAGAATACTTACACTTCCTGCAGGTTCGACAGCTCTGCAAAGGCAGCAGGATCAATCTCTGTCAACTTGTTGTAGCTCAGGTTTCTGTTAAAATAAAAGAGAGTGGGATCAGCACGCTGCAGTTACCATGCTCAGCAAAACAGATATCTCCATCGCTCCCAACTGCACCTCGAGGGTGGGTTTGTTTTTATCAAGAGCACTTTAAACACAGCAGAGCAGCACTTTTCTGCTGAACACACAAGTTACTTCAGTTCTGTGATGTGAATGTTATCTAGCTCTCCCCAAGCTTTGCCCAATTTTGCATTAGTGTGGTTTTAATTTGTCTTTATATTACACAATTACATCTATTATTCTTCTATTGGTTATTCACAACCACAAAACTAAACACAGATGAATAGGATATTTCCTGACAAATTAAAGTCCAAACTGAAACAAATCAACAAACCTTCTGCTAAATATTTTATAGCTATATTCACAGAATCATAGAATCACAGACCGTTAGGGATTGGAAGGGACCTCAAAAGCTCATCCAGTCCAATCCCCCTGCCGGAGCATGAACACCCAGGTGAGGTTACACAGGAAGGCGTCCAGGCGGGTTTTGAATGTCTGCAGAGAAGGAGACTCCACAGCCTCTCTGGGCAGCCTGTTCCAGTGCTCTGTCACCCTCACTGAGAAGAAGTTTCTTCTCAAATTTAAGTGGAACCTCCTGTGTTCCAGCTTGTGCCCATTACCCCTTGTCCTATCATTGTTTGTCACCGAGAAGAGCCTGGGGTTTGTTTTTTTGTTTGTTTTTTTTTTTTTTTTTCACACCACTGTGTATTACCTACGAGCAAAATCACACATAGGTATGTGCATGTACTGTGTGTAAACATCAAATATATTCTACATTTTTCTAACAAGATGGTATTTAATATTAAAGTATCACTAAATGTTGAGTTTTCTTTAAAAATCGGTGATTACAGCTTTCAGCTGGTCACACAGCTCTTTTAACAATCCTAACCATCACTTCCCAGACATCTGCCAGCCCAAATCCAGATCATGTTGTAATCCTCCACGGATGGAAAGGATGGCAAATAAGTTGTGCTGTGTTATCTGAAAGCAGTTTACTGGAGGGCAGTCCTACCTCGTACAACATCCCTGCTTGGAAATACAGGAAGGAACGCACCACGAGGACTGCGAGGGACAGCAAACAGACAAAATAATGCAAATCAAGCACCCACGCCAAAGATCATGAGCAACATCTTTGCTGTGCATGGCCCAACAGCCAAGTTTTGTCTCCTGGATTTGCGCTCTCAGCACAGCGCACAGGACAGGTCAAGCCTGCAGCCAGGGACTCACTGGGAGAGCACAGATCAATTAAGACCAAGTGACTAACGATGCAGAAATTAACAAATGGCCTAATTAACATGATGTATGCAGTGCTGGCATGTTCCTGGGAGTGCATAAAGAGGGAGAAGGTAAATTGATGGGCGGTAGCAAGAGAAGCAACCACAAGAAGTGGTAAGGAAATTGTGAGGAGAATCTGCCGTGTTTTCACCCTGCTCCACACCCTGCTGTAGGATATTACCCTGAGTAAAATTCAAGCCTCCTGTCTCCTCCCAAAGGAGGATACACCCTCTTACTGCACCTCTGAACAGGACCCAAAAGATTCATGGCCTGATTTTAGATAAGCCCTCGAACATTCAGCTGCTTACTCAAACCACCAAGCCAGTCTGACTGGAAAACTGGCCAATCTTACCCGATTGTCTTCTTCCCTTTGTTTTGAACCCATGCCTACAGAACCCAAGCAGGTCTGGAGTCCAAACAGGTAAACAGGAGCTAAGTCACCATGGCAGCTACCGAACTTTTCCTACGTGACCCAAGAGCTGAGGACACCAAGGAGAGGAGTACTCATCAGCTTTGCATGATTTGCAGGAAGCAATAAACACCTCTTTAGAGCTAAAAAGCAGTTACTGATCACCTGCCCTCCTAGAATGCATTTATGAGAAGTCCTCAAAGCGTTCCCCTGCACTGGGGAACATTTGGTAACTTCACACACACACCATTCCCCATCATTTCAGAGGAGCCAGCTCTGGAGACGGCTCCTTGCATCTGGCCCAAAATGCTCAATTTTTTTGCCAATACTTGCCATGAAAGAAGGCCCAACAACTCAACACCACAGGCTGGCTCTTCACAGAATACAGACCCGAAGCTACACAGCAGTGTAAAGCCTAATCAAGCATCATGTTTTAAAATACGCTGTCCTGTAAGCCCCTACTGTCTTTTAAAAGCACTCGAGAGACCTTTAAATCAATACCAGCCTACAGCAGATATCCATTTCACTATGAACTCAAAGGCATTTATCTAAATAAAAGTCAAACTGCAGTTTAAACTCAGAGCGCATTTGAAAGCCAAGTCCATATTCATAGCACAATTACGAATTAAAGTGCAATTTGCCCATAGATTACATTACTATTTTTTTTTAAAACCACACAGCAAAATCACGTTTGAGCTTGTCCCTGTCTGATGAACAGGCAAAAGGAGAAATTACAACAGGTAACGTCCTATAGGCTCAACACAAAGATAAAGCTGATGCAGAATTACTAGTGACAAACTAAGGGGGGAAAATACAGCCACGGTCATGACCGTGCATGAATCCATCTGTTTTAATATATTCCTATGCCTTCTACTGCTGCAAATCTTTGCATTTCTTAAGGTAATGTATTTATCCTCAAAACATTCCTTTGCAATAGGCTGAGAGGCTGTTCTGTGAACCAAGGACTGAGAATCACAGGCAGCAAACCCATCTTCCCTTCACTTATTA